CAATTAATAGGACTGTGTACTGTATGGTAAGCAGAGTGGGGGAAAAAAAGTCATGGGAAGTCAACTCTGCCAAAAAAAAGAAAGGTACTGATAGCAAAAAATGTGGCTAGAGACTTCCAAAGAGGTATGGCCAGCCATCAGCAAAGCTAATTTCACTTTACCTTTACAACAATAAACATTGAAATTCATTAAATTTATTTGTTCTAAAGCCACATACTACTGAGAGTGCTACACACACACACACACACACACACACACACACACACAAAATGTGAATTAACCATAGAGAGAATGGACTAAGATTTACTAATTTGAGCTAAATATAATTACATATAACAAATAATCATCATTATACTTTCCAGTTAATGTATAAACAAGATTTATTGTGTTCGGGTGTTGGCTGGTTGCCAAACGAATTTATGTATGTAAACATTTTACTCCTAAAATATTCACTAGTTACAAAGCATGATATTTATGTATGTACAATGCAAATTTAATTGTATGTGTTTATCGTGGATATGAAACATAACTACTTCATCCAAGTAGAGAAAAAACTAAGATAGAAAACAAGTGTATTTATATATTACTATAATAAATTTCAGGGGAAGAGGGGAAGAAAACAAACTCAATGATCATTCTTCCATGATCACACAGGTTAATCATTACTTGTTCACAATGTTGAGTTTAAAGCCCTGGATAACTGAAAAACATCTTCTGAATCATTTGATACAACATTATAGTTTGTTACGTTTTTATATCTATGTTCGCTTTTGTTTCTGCTTATAGGCTTATTAAAATGAACAACCAATACATTGTGAGATCATCCAAGGTATATGTCAAATACCAAGAACCTTGGTTTGGGAGACAGTTGGTGTTTAAACACAGTACAGCTCGAACAGAAACTGTTCTGGAAACTTAGCAGACCCCTAGAACTCTGGAGCCAACTTCTTGGACCTAGATGAACTCACTTCTCTGCTCCCTTCAAATTTTTCAATGTTGGTTAATCCATTGGCTTCTCAAGTAAAATATTATAAATTGAACACCTTATAAATGTTTCTCAAACCAGTTGTCAAATTTTAGGTTCTCCCTAGTTGTCTATTTTCCTTCCAAATCTTGGTACCTCCCCTGGTATGTCTACCAACTTTCAATGTTTACAATTATACTACATCTGTTATTCATGCATCCATCCATTAATCTACCTGTTTACTATCTAACCTAGAAACTGTCTTCTCAAAATTTTTGTTACATGACTCACTGAGTGCACATCTATAATGGACTTACAGCACTTCAGACTCTATATGGCCCAAGATGAACCTGACACCTTTGCTTCTCAAGCATGTTTCTTATCCCAGCCTTCCTCCATATTTCACCATCACATCCACAACCCACTCTTCTAGAGTCTACCATGTAATTACCTTGGTACTGGTTCTCTCTCTTCTTCATTCTAGTAACACTTCCAAAGTTAGAGGTCCTCTTGTCAAGGTCATCCCAATACTTAACAGATGTTCCTGTCTCAGCTGTCTGAGGTCCATCACTCTAGAGTGCTATAGTTCACCTCTCAACACATCATATCTCCTTTAAAAGCAATTCTGCATAGAGAGAACCAAACACCTCAGGGAGTCAAACAAATATGCAGGATCTTATGTGTACTACTCTGGACTTCATGTCCCCTTGCAGGAATCCTTTCAAGTCTTCCTGAATTGATAACTAACCATTACAAAATCCCTACTCAGGCATTCTGATCACACTTATACCACAGCACTTAAATGACAGTGCTCTTCTATTTTATTAATATTAGTTTCCTAAGTTGTCTCAGATGTGTATAACATGTTATAGTGGATTAAGCTGTTGTTCAAATGTCAAGACACTGTACTTCCCCACAACTAAAAACAAATGTTCCTATAGCCCTTGGTCATGTACCTCTAGACTTCCCCCTTAGACCAGTAACTACTTCAGTTTGAATAATCTGCATAATCTCAGTGTACAGATTGTTAATACTATTAATAAATACTTGATGGAGGAAAGCATATATGTTCACAAAATGCTTCACAATAAGAACATATGACTACCACTGTTTTTAAAACTAATAAACTTTTCTTTTCAAACTGATTTGGTTATGTAGGCAGATATGCAAAGTAACATTTAAATAATTTAACAAGCATCCAGTATGGTTAGCAGGATTATCAAATTACACTTTTACTTAGCTTCCAGGATAGGGAACTATTAATGCCACACCAAGTTAATGAGTTTTAATGGCAGAAAGAAGTACATAAAAGAAAAATAACCCAAGCCCACATTTTAAAAACAGTAAAACAAAATTTTAAAGTGCCGATTCAATTTTAAAAAAAAACCCAAAAAACAAAAACAAACAAAAAAACCCAGCCAAATTGTCTAGAGTGAAGATACTCTTCTTCAACAGTTCTCTTGTACAAAATTTTCTGTATATAAACACATTAAAATCTTTCATACACAGGTCACTTTTCTGAGAATATCAATCACTCAGCCCATAGTACAACAAAGAGGACATGAACAAAACTTATCTGTCACAGAATCTGTGGGCTTTGTACTTGGCAATAGATACACCATTTCGAGAGGACAAAAAAAAAAAAAAAGGCAATGGATAATACAGCATCAGGACCCACTCCCAGCCTGGCAGCAGCAGAAAGTGATAGCTGATAACAGAAAGAAGACCCAGACAAAGCATATAAAGAAGAATGGTACCTCTACTCCATTCTAGTACTTCAGACCAACAGACTAAGACCAGGAAAAGCAAGCAAAATGGTTCTGTATATATCAACAAATGGTATTGTTGGTTCCTCTATAGATTCACACTTAGAAAGACACCCAGCATAATAAATAAATAAATAAATAAATAAATAGTATATGCAGTAACTTCTGTAGTCAGAGCAAGGTTTGCAAAATGCTTATTTTAGTTATTTATTTTTGTTGCTGGCTGTTTTGAAGCTCTGGTTATTAATACTGTAGGGTAACTCAGAAAATTTTTGTATGAAAATAAGCACCAACTCATATACTGTCAGAATAATATATATTGCATAAGCAAACAATAGTACCCACTGCTATGTGTCTTGGCAATTTTCATGTATGCTCTGGAAATTGTGAATTAATTATGGCATTATTTGATATGCAGGTCTATAAAGTATTTTGAAAATGTGTCTGAGAACTGATGGTAAGTTTCACAGCAATATTTAAATGATAACTAAACTCAGGGCTGCTCATGGGTGTCTTGAAACGTCCCGATTTAAATAACTAGAAATCTTAACTATAACTCTTATCAAAATCAGATCTTACAAAATCTTCTCTTAAAATATATTTACTGAATTTATTTACTATAACAGGTATTCTAAGTACCAGTATAAACCGAAAACTGTAACGTTTGGACTCAAAGAGTTCACTCATCTACAAGAGAAAACGGCCAGTTGTTTAGATGAGCCAAACAAAGCTGAGCTGTGGTTCTAAACATCAAGACACTGTTTCCCTACAGTTTAAAAATGTTCCCATAGTGATGGATCAGACAACGTTAGACTTGCATTTAACCTTGCCAGTGACAGGTAAAGCAGACAATGCTGATCTATTCACCATCTAGGAGAGTTAAGTTGCTGAGCAGACAGGGTCACAGGACCTCGAGCTAACAAGAAACCGTTTCTTCAGGAAAAATTAAACTGCAGACTCACAGTTAATGTGATTAACACAAGTTCTGATTTTTTTCAACTAATTGAAAAAAATGTCTAGGGACAATGCGTGACACTTAATGCTATCAGAATGCTGATTAAGGAAGACTTTCTAGACTTTGTCTAACAAACGTCTTTTTTTATCTAGGCTCAAGGCTTAGGAAGCCTGCATTCAAGTGGGTATTTGTTTGGGGGAGGAGGTGGCATTAAAGATTGAAACAAGGGCATATTTGGTACCTTTCCAAACTGCAACACATTCCTGTCATTAATTTAAAGTTGTACAACTTGACATCCTAAGAGGACCAATCCCCCAGCCTCCCGCCCCCCTGCCAAACCAGTGATTTACTTGGAAATTTTTAATAGGAAATTTTTAATTTTTATTTTTATGAAATAGAAGCCTTTGCCTTGTCCTGACACTATGTCACAACAGTGGAGACTCGACACAGGTTAGGGTTGAGAAAGTCACGCCTGTGATAATTCCACTCCCCAACAGAGGACTTTCTACCTTCTCTTGAGTGTCTGAGACTCAGAGCTGTCAGTCCCTTCGTGCCCTTCAGAATTCTAAAGATGTTGCGCGCCTTGGTACGGACAGCATCTTGGTACAGGTGAAGCAGTGATCCTGTCCCTAAGTGCTGCGGAGTGGCACGTTCTCAGTCCTCAACTTTAGAAGCCCTCAAAGCCAGTGCCCGGGAGCGCACAGGTCAGGTGCTGACCAGAGACACCTCGGAGCGTCCTTTTGCCCGGACGCACTGCACCCTCGAGAGCTCAGCGCCAGCGCTCTCCGCCTGCAGCCCCGCAGCGCCCATTCCGGGGGCCGCACGGCTCCTCAGCAGCAGGCGACCGCCCCGCGCGCGCCGTCCCCGGCCCGCCTGCCCGCAGCCTGTCCCCTTCTCACCCGGCCCCGCACTCCCGTCCGCCACGAGCCACCGCGCGGTCTTCTATCCACTACTGCGGTCACCGAAAGGTCCCGCGTGCGCGCGCGGCCCGGGACCGTCCCTTCCCCAGTGCACACCCCTCAGACACCTCCAGCCGGAACGCGGCGGGCCGGAGAGTTCCCGGCGGCGGCTGCAGTCGCCCATCCTGGCCTCAGTCAAGTGCAAGGTCCCGCGTCCGGATGGGCGGGGGCGTCCCCTTGATTCGCTCCCGCCGCCCGGACAACCCTGCAGGGTGACAAGACCGAACTCTCCACAGCCTTCCACGCGGGCCGCCTCAGAGGGCGCGGGCGTTCCCCAAACCTCGGGCAGAGAACAACTCCGTGTCCCGGAGCCCCCGGTCCCCGTCCCCGTGCTCCCGCCGACTCCCGCCGCTTACCGCGTCCTTCGGCTGCCGCGCGGGAGTTGGAGGGCGCCTTGGCCGCGGCACAGAGTCTGTGGAGCGCGCGTCGTCGCCCTCGGAGGCTGGGCGTGAGGGAAGCTGCGGCGCACCTGCCGGCTTAAGACGGCCGCTCTAGGACCGGCGATGCTCCACGGTGCCCTCCCTCGGGGCCGCAGCGCGCCTGCTCCTCCGCGGGGGCCCGCGCGCCCCGCCCCCTCTCCCCCTCAGCGCGCCGCGACGGAGCGGGAGCGCGCCCAGACCCGCGCGCGCCCCCGGCTCTCCCCCAACCAGACGTCACTCAAACCTCCCGGCCGCGCGCTGCCTCGGTCGGGACACCGCTGCGCACGCGCCTCGACGGCGAGCGGAGATGCTGCGAGGCTGCACCTGCGGCCGAGCTCGCCGCACCAGACGCGCCTGCGCCCAGACTCCTCCTCGTCTGCGGCTTTTTTTCCCCCTCAGGCGCTGGAAAGGAGCAGGGCCTGTGGAGCGCCTGGTTTCCCTTCTTCCACTTCCTGTCTGTTGGCCCGAGAGAGCTGCTCCGTGAGGAGAGTGGCCGGACTGTGCGCACGCTCGCGCACACGTGGAGAGCCCAAGGGCACCAGAAAAGCCAACCTGAGCTTCTTATGAATGGGCCTTTTAAAGTTTTGTCTGCTTGGGTCCTAGCTTCCTGATTCTGACTGGAAGTGTTTGCCAGCACTTATTACACAAGTTGGTGTCCAGGTCAAGGAACAACTTTTTCCAAAGAGCTTGAGGCCTCTGGTATCCCAGACATCAGAGGCCGATCCCTTGAAGTGTCAACTGTAGAGGTACAGCTTTAGAAAACAGGAAAGGTTCCTTTGCTTTAATTCTGAACATGTAAGGTAATCTTTTCTACACACACACACACACACACACACACGATATACATAAATGTACATATACACATGTACATACATGAACTGAGCAGAATATGGTCTAACTTTCTGGCACCATTCAGGTCAAGCCTAAAGTCCAGAACCTAAAAGGCCTCCATGCAAATTTTGTGTGTAAATGTTCAGAAATGAAAAACAGGGTGTCGTTAATGTTGTTTCCTTGCTTCAACTTGAGACTCAGGTTTGGGACTTGGCCCTCAAAAACTAGAAATTTCTGTAATGATAAAGGAAAAAATATACTCCTTATTGCTGTCCTTATTAAGTTTATTTAACAATTATAGTGCCCAAAGGCCATACCTATTTCAAAGAAGATAGCGCACTTTTCTTTTTTTATAAATTAGAAATCTCCTTAGCTGAACTAAGGAGATATAGTTTATTTATTTAAATTGCACTAGAAAAAGTGGAAACAAGTATCAAACATAACAGATAATCAATAGAGAATATAAGCTTCTTCTTTAAAACTTTATTTTCTAAAATATCATGCTCCAGCTGCAAGTAATTGTCCTAATAAAGTATATATAACTTTTTGATAAAAAATGACATCAGAAATTTAATAAATAATTTTGATTTTTGTCTATAATTTGTGTCACATGGTTATGTGCCTAATAAAATCGTACAAACTTATCATACTGTAAAATTCTCATCAAACGTGCAGATATTGAAAAATCCATTCAAGAATATTTTATGTAGTTATGATCATGATTTTTGTATCTATGATATGGCTATTAGGGCATTCTGCAACTTAAGTTTAGTATGCCCTTTCATAAATTAAATTTGAATTATGCTTTTGGCTATTGAAACCAAGAAATTAAAAAAGTAAATCTCAATCTATTTTTAAATATTAATATTATCAACAGGATGGTTAGATAAAATGAATGATGTTTGATACTTCTTTTCAGAGAAGGGAGCATTGTTTTCATGTTCAGTCCATCCTTTAAGTTCCCATTCTGATTAACAGGAAGCGTCCATACAGTTCAGGTTACAAAATGTTGCACTGGAAAACATGTCTGTGAAGGAAGTTTCAGCCAGGGTAAATTAAATTCGCCTTATTACTGCTGCATACTGATAGGTATGTTCTCTCCTTCAGTGACTCAAATATAGGCCAGATTAGACCAGATTACAAGTAGGTAAAGGCAGGTTTGCTAGAAGGTGGCTCTCAGGTGGCTTAACCCATCTCACTGGTTAAGTCACATCCAGACTAAAGCAAGGGGGTTTTATAGAGTTTAGGAGAGGAGTGATGTCATGCCCAGCTAGTAGCTGGGATTGTGTTTATATGTGGTCAAAAGCTGAGCCCCCGGGCGGGAAGTCTTGGTTGCTACAAACAAGAAGAAGGATAATGACAAGTTAGCCTGGTGGTATCTCCAAGTCTGTAGGAGAAAGGGGAGGAGGGTTCTATGTGGGGCAGTGTCAGGGGAAGGAGGGATCTCCTGGCTTGTGTAGGGGATGAGCAGGGGTTCTAGCCTAACACACACTACATTTGTCAGTTCATTGAACTATTAATTTCAAGGGCTTGTTATGATTCTAGAGACTTGGACTCACATTATTTCTATAGAAAATGTCGATGCTTGTGAGAAATAATATCTTAGCTGGTAATCATTAACTATTAACTTTTTAACACAACTACCTAGAGCTGAACTGAGTTTCACTGTTTGTTAGCAGTGTTTGCCAACTACTGTGTGCCTTGATTTCTTTACCCATATAATGGCTCTGATATTGGGCCGGAGAGAGGGCTCAGAAGTTCAGAGTATGTCCTGCTTTTGAAGAGGACCTAAGTTTGATTGCCAGCTCTATGGAGATCTGATCTCTCAGAGCTTCATGAGGGCCTGTACTTATGTGCGCATGCCCCAACCCCTCCAAAACATAATATACATAGTTAAAAATAGTAAAAATAAATCTTAAAAATGAGTGTGGCAATAACTACTTCATAAAGTTATTGTGAGAAGTACCAAACATAAAACATGAATAAGACAGGACAGAGCTCCTAGCGCTTGGCATTTAATAAATATTAATCTGGTGCTATCTCTCTATAATCAACAGGTGGAGAATTAATCAGCTTTGTAGGACATTCTTTTATCTTAATAGTACTGGAGATTGCATCTAGGACCTCACACATGCTAGGCAAGTGTTCTATCATTGAGCTACACCACCAGCCTGTAGATCAAATTTAATGATTTTTTTTTCAAGTCCTTGAAGCAGAACACTAGAGCAGACTGCGTACTTTTGGGTTCTTTAAAATAAGACTGAGTTTCTCTTAAGCTAAGTCTTCCTTTAGCCCACATCCAAGCATGTCTTGAAGCCAATCTTTAAATTTGTTTTATTTATCTAGTATTTGTTAATAGACCAACTTACGTAAAGTTTGATAAGAACTGTACACAATTTATCTCCTTAAACTTTGGCAAGGTGTTTCCTGGATCCTGCCCTTATTTAGAGGGAGAAGGAGCTTACAAACACTTAAGAAAATACTTGATTGTATAGGTATAGATTATTTAAGTGTAATTAAGTATGAGGTGAATCACAAAGCGAAAGGAAGGGGAGAGATATTAGCGTGAGCTAGATTTGTTATAAGTGGTCTTGGAAGAGATTCTGTCTCAAGGCAAGAACAGAGAGTTTGTCAAGAACTGAAGAGAATTTTATGGGAATAGTAGAATAATCTGCTTTAAATCTACTACCTTAAAGTACTTAGTACTAAAAATAAAATGCTAACTTTTATATCTCAAAATTGAAACCTATTCCTTTTTTCCAATGTCCTTTCCACCCTTTTGGTTCTAATGAAGAAGTGAGTGACCATAGGTGCAGAGCCTGCATTCATGCTCATATGTGAACATAGCACAATCTCCTGAAACAAACAAACAAACAAAACAAAAACCTCAGTTGAAACATCAAATTACAAAGTCATCCTGTAGGTATGGCAAAACCATGGAAGAGAGGCTAGAATTCAGAGAAGGCTAGAATTGGGTAAGAATGTTCATGAAGGTTTCACAAGCACTTGACAGTTGAGCTGTTGTGAGTGATGAATACAAATTCTTAACCGCTGCGCCACCTCTCCGGCAGTTCTTATTTCAAAGATATTTTGGTGATGGGGTTTTAAGACAGAGTTTCTTTGTGTCCTGAGGATTTTTGCAGATTAAAGTACAAATTAGAATTGGAGCAACAGGGAGTTATAGCCTGCCATGTGGGTGCTGGGAATTGAAACCAGGACCTTTGGAAGAGCAGTTAGTGCTCTTAAACTACGGAGACATCTAGGTCAACCACAGAGGACACTTTTGACTAGAATGACTGCTCTAGTTTTTCTCCTTAATTAAGCCCATCCATTATTACACATAGTGTCCCACTGATTCTTTTGTATTCTCTGAGAAAATCACCCTTTTCCAGTTTTCAAGTAGAAATAACACAGACAGGCCCAATAACAAAATACATGAAAGAAAAAGCAGGAATTGTGATGTCTAGATCCATATATGCTATATAACTTTGGATATACTTAACCTGGAGTCTTTGCGGAAGTTATTGCGAACATAGATGTTATTCTTCCTCAATAAATTTATAAGTGAAAGTGGACTGCTATTTCTTCTGTAACTCAATTTTAATTCCATTCTCCGAAAACTACTACCTTGATGTACTTCCCATATACTCTACCCCCAAGCTCAATTAAAAAAATAAAACAGTATGATGCAATATAATCACAAAAGATTGCTGTTATTTTCTGTGTTGGAATTATGAACATGGAAGTTGTGAAAATTCTCCAGGTACTGAGTGTGCCTTCTAAAACATTTGGAACCTTTTGCTACATCTCCCTGCAATTCTATTTCAAGAGTTTTATAACATGTAGTATTATTAATTAAACATCTGCCATCATATGTCTGTGACATGCTATAGAGTCTCGTTTGGTTTGTATCCTTGGAGATTTATACAGTACTGCACTTGTGTAATATCAAGGGCCTCTAGTTTTGACTAATTAATTTGGTAAAAAAAAATACTCTCTGCATTCACTGTCTTATAAACTCCCTTTAAAGAAAAGATGACAGTGTATTCACAAACTATTTGGTCATGTTTGTTGTTATACCTTTATTGCCTAGAACACCATCTGGTTCATATTCTGTTAAAACGTGGAAGAAATGGATGAAAAACTGAAATACAACTGGCCTGTTTACTTCCTAGAGAGTAACATCTTTCTGACACAGGACAAATCTCACATGATTTCAAGTGCAGCCAGAGTTAGGGGGATGAAGAAGATTGTTTTCAGCCTTAGACATTTGCATGTGCCATGGTGTCCATGAAAAAATTTTAA